TTATATAACTGACAGAGAAGCTGTGATATTGCCTCACATCTTAAACACTTCCACTTTTGTGGTTCAACCATTAATTTGAAATAAGTATGGCTGAACCGGGAGAAGTAGTTCCATATAAAAGGCCCTATAAAACAAAAGGAAAACAACTTTTCCAGCCTTTGTAAAAAAAAAAAGTTTCCCATAACAATGAATAGATAAGTATGAACTGCTCTTTACACATTAAATCTCTGTGACATTATATAGAATTATTTCATGTTGCAAAACTAACAGACTAGAATATTTAGGAACTGTTTTTCCCTAATCTCTTCTCCTTTATAAGTCTTAAGTTATTTTATTTAGGAGACCACTAAGAGCATATGCTGGTGTTAAACACATTGCACACCTGAGGCCCACATTTGTAGCAGCATGGACAGAGCACAGCGATGCAAGACTAGAATGACAAAGCTCCATGTTTCAGGCTTATTTCACAAGGACATCTGCCTCAGCAGAAGTCCCTTCTGCATTATTAAATCTTCCAGATCTAATCAATAAACGAACAGGAGGCATACACATTGAGTTTATTGTGATGGAGTAGATATATATTTATATCTTGCCAACAAAATAAACCATGATTAAAAGATACAATTATGTTATGCCAGTAAAATTTAGAAGATTTTACTTAAGTCCCAGCATTTGTAACTGGTATCTATGTGATTGAAAGGTAACTTCAGTTTTATTACTCAAATTTCAAACTATAGCTTATCTTGTCAACCCATTAAAGGCACTTAAAAAACTGTCAGGACAGATGACAAATGTTTCTGACCTTTTTAAAACACACTTTCTAAATCAAATAATTTTCTTATCTTGTTTTACAGGTATGTATTTTTCATTTCAGGATCACAGTTTTGTGCCTACCACTACAGAAAGCCTCAACTGTAACAAACCTTTAAAGATCCTTTTTATAGTGAGTACTTAGACTGAGTGAAATTAAAGCAGAGAAAAAAAGCAGTTTCAACATTAACTACATGTTTTGAAAAACATCTTGCAATTTATTGTACTACTGATTATGTCTTTTGGAGAACATCTGTCGTGCCTAAAAAAAGTAGGAAATTAGTAATAAAAATACAAATGAAGTTAAGAAAAACATAATTTTTTAAAACACGAGGGTAAGAACATACCTTTGTTATTTCCAAGGCCATAATCAAACCCTTGTCCATTACTACAGCTTGTCCCCTTACTGAAAGCTTGTATTGAAAAAGGACTTGGGGGAGGAGTCTGCACATTTTGATCTAGAAGGACTTGCTCTGTAAAGAAAATCACATCACTTCAGAATTAGATCTTCTTAGTACCTGATTTACACTGGAAAGATGAGTCACAACGCAAAAGAGTGGTATTTCTTCCCACAGATAGCACTCTTCCTCTCTCTACTCAACTCTCTTCAAAAAAAGCACATCTCTCTTTTAGTGCTCATGCTCTAGAAACTTAAAAGACAGAGGACTTAATACCTTTTTTTAGGTTTGACTGAGTTGCTGCCATGTTTGTCACTATCTGCCCCTTAGAAACCGGCTTGACACTTTGTTTTTCCAGTAACATCACACCATTCCCTGTTTTTTCTTTGGACAGCAATTGTGAAATTCATTTGACAAAGCAGGGAGGAGAAAGGATAATTTTCAGAGCAGCAAACTGAAAGCCAATAAACTCTTAATCCTGGCTACCCTCTGATAATTCATGGGACATAAGACATTTTTGCCTGAAAGACTTCTTCATATTTGTAAACAAGTACTAAAATTTTGCTTTCTGTATGCCACTAAAGAAACCTCCATCCAAAATCAGCCTGGACTCTTTCACAACACTCATAACATTAGAGCCAAAATAAATGAGACAGAATCCACTTGACTATTTAGATTTAGGGAGAAACTACTGACTTAATGTAGTCAGAAATGTCATTCCAACTGATGATATATAAGCAGGCATTCAGAAGAAATAGCCCAAACATAGGTTTAAAAGCTCCAGTTAGAACCCTGAACCTCATTTTTTCTTGTAAATGTACAAAAATTAATATGGATTAAATACAAAAAATGAAAATTGCAAGTCTTCTAAAAGCCATTGAAAAAAACTCCCTGCATTTCAGAATGCAAATTTTCACATAATACACATCTTCAAGTTATTAAAAAAACACCAGGAAAAAGCCTGGAAATTTAAAGGTTTATAAAAGAAAAGATCTAGAATTTTCTCAAACAGAGGCAACTCTAGATCTTGCTGTAGTGTGTTAACTGGATACCTGCCCACAGACCACGGCATTCAGTATGACTTCTGCTCTATGACAGAAATCCTACTCCTTTATGAGAATTTAATTAAGATTTTATTAAATAATGAGAATACAAATGCAATCTGAAAGATGGTATTATTTATGGATAAATATATAGACAGTTGCAAATCTAGCTGGAGCTCCTCCAAGTCCCAATTATTTCCCTCAAGCAAAAGGATTGGAACTGATGACAAAGTATTTCTAAAAATGTTCACGGCAAAAAAAAGCAGTTTAAATAACCTTCATATATGGATTAAGTGCATGAGTTTTACATGGTCCTGAAATGGACTAGGAACACAGAAGAGGCTGAAATATCTCAGTAATTGCACTGATAACTGCTGAAACTGCTGTTAGCTAAATGCACAAGAGACATCCATCCTCACACTACTTATGAAAACATCAACTCATCTGGTAAAGATTAAAGCCAGGCATGTCAAGGCACAGGACGCGTATCGCAAAGTTTCTAAGATGATATTCTATGGACTGGATTGCAGAAATCCTACCACAGTTTTGTCCTCAATGCTTGGAGCTTACATTTCTGTTCTTCTGTGAGAACAATGACATACTCAAAGATGTCCTTCAGTAACAGTACATGAGCATCAAGAACATGAAGACCCACCTTCAAAGAAGGGTCTTGTTTAAATTATTCCAACATTGGGAATCCTTTTTTAAAGCATATTTTCTGTAATTTCAGAAATTATAAAAAACATGAAATGACAAATCCATTCCTGAAGCTGAAAAGACTACTTAAACATGCGAAGTCCTGCCAAGCTACTTAACTGTATTCCTCAAAATAAGTACTCTTGAATGGAAATTTTTGCATATTCCTTAATTTAGTAACTTCAGAGAAATGATTTTCTACTAGAAAAGCAAACAGCCTCATATTAAAATAGAAAATGAATACGTGTGATTTCAACAGTAAGGAACTGTTCCAACTCACAAATATTTAGTTTCTAGAATCTACCCAAGCTCTTTGAGCACCTCAGAACTTGACATTACCAGACATAACGAAAAATGGAGAAGCTATGACTTCAAAAGAGATACTGTTGCTTACTGCCCTTCTTTTCAGACTGTTTTATACCTAAAAGTCAAGCTGCAACAGCCTATAGGAAATAAGTGAATATGAGCAAGTAATTACTTTGTTTTAAGATAGTAAAGTCATGATCATTATTAGAGCGTCTGTGCGTGAAATAAATTTCAGCACCAAATGTCAAAGCCAGAAAAAGGGCAGAATCTGTTAAGAAGCTGACAATAAGTATGACCGAAAATCACAAGCAGAATATGACTGCTGAGGTCAAAGCTTTTTGTGAAGACATTTCTTGGAAAACAGATGCATTAGATCCTATAAATGGAGTAGGAAGATTATAAATTGAACCTGCCCAGATTTATGCAGAAAACAGAGAAATATAGAAGAAAAAAAGAAGGCTTGAAGAACTTAACTCTGAGCAAGTAGAAACAAACCAGCCTCTAGGGAACTCAAACAAAATTTTATTATCCATGGAAGAACCCTGCTTGGTCCTCTCTGAGAATCCCTGTAACAAAATAATGCTAATGCAGACTCCCAGTAATTTCTACTAAATATTGGGTAGACAAGAGAGACACGTTGAACAGCTTGGGAGTTGTGTCCAATTTTAGGCTCCCCATCAGGAGACAGACTGAAATGAATTCAGCAGAGACCACCAAGACATTGCACATGACATCTAAGGAGAGGCGGAGAGATCTGGGTTTGAGAATGCTAAGGTGAAATCCTATCCCTCCCTTTTACTATCTAATCAAAGGGTTCAGAGAAGATGAAGCCAGACTCATCTCAAGAGGTTCAATGATAGGACAAGAGACAAGAAATGGAAGCTGCAGCATGGAAAACTGTGATCGGGTATTAAGAATATTCAGGCCTTGAGCAACCTGATCTAGCTGAACCTGCACTGACAGGGAGGTTGGATAGATGATCTACTCCAGAACTATGAACACTGACAGATCACTCCCTGTCTCATCTTTTAAAGGAATGTAAGTGGCCCACAATCTTGTACAGCAGAACCCATCCAGATGGGCTGAGACTATCTGTTAAGAAAGTAACCATTTCAGAACGCCCCAAGGAACTCACATGAAGCATTCAGAGTGAAAGACAGGTACTTGAGATGTGTAATGACAGCCTGTTTGGAGAGAGATCAACAAGAAGGATGATTGGCAGGGGAGGCAATAAAAAATTTTGTGTAATAATGTATCATTTGTGGGGTTTTTACTTCTAGGTCCTACCCAATCTGAACATGAATCATCAGGAGAGAAATTCTGCATTTTAAGAGACTGCAATCACACTGTGCTAACTCGAATAATGAACTAATTTGATGTTAATTTTAAATACTGTGTTAAAGAACAGGCTAACATATTTTGAACAGGATGCTGTGTGACAGAAGTAACAAACAAAATCAGAGGAACCTAATGCATTCTGCTCTGCTTTTCATGAGACACAAAGTGGATGAAAGTAAACTACAAATCCAAAGCTACTTATAAAAAAATTATCCCCTTAGCTGAAAAAAAAAAAAAGAAAAACCCTTAAAATTCTGGTCCAAAAGCATAACTGGTACTGAAGAAAATATGGGGAAATATTTTAAAACTGTTCATTTCAAAAACATTTAAAGGATTTTTATAAACAACTTTCAAGTCCAATTGTGTAATGTAACTCAAATGAAACTGCATAAGCAAAAGTTATCCCTGTTAAAAACTCAGATCCTTCTTTATTTACCCTGTTTAGATTGCTTAATTTTTCCTAAGTAAAAAAACCCAATAAAACAAAACAACCACTTGCCATCTTCGTGTCGGAGGTACTGGTTTCCACCTCTGTCTCTAGCTAATGACCATGCCTCGCCTTCATCACTTTCACAGAACTCTACCATGCTGTTCTTATCCATTTGCACCCATGTACCTTCTGAATTAGTCACCTGATGCACACACATAAAAAAAAAGCACAATTTATTGACTTTTAAAATAATTCAGTTGATGATTCAGCAACTTACAGTATCTGGAAAACACACTCCAATCATTATATTACAAAGCAAATGTGAAAACAAAATAGTTTCTTAAATTAAGGCCACAGGCTGAGGCATACTGAAGTACCAAACCTATTTATGGCATATTTACAGTCAGACTAATAAAAAAAATTTAAACCTGCTTATATTCAGAAGAAGCAAAACACCAACACCACAACTTTAGAACATCCAAATAAGCCTAAGCAAAACCTTGAAGGAAATAGTCACCAAAATACACCTTCTAATTGATGGCTGCAATAGTAGAATTATAATACCAAGTTACATATGAAACGTTTTTGAGCATTAATTTTGTTCCTGACATTATATTTAGGAAATAGCATGACACACTTCATCCTTAAGCCCTTCTTAACCATAAAACACCACAGCTGGACAACTGGGAACAGTAACAACACTTCAGCAACTGAACAAAATAATACAATCAATACAGAGAAATACAGTAATTTGTTAATTGGTTAAGTCCTAGAAAAACAGTTTTTCAATGAAACAAAATTATTTGAAAGAACATGAAAAAATATAACAAGAAATACAATTTTGTAAGGAATGCTGTAACAGAGATATATAAGCAGCATATGTAAGTTCAGTACCATTTTAACATTATTTCAATCAATGCAAAAAGGCAAAAGACATAACTGCATTAGTAGTAATACAAACCAAGTTCAATACTCATCATGAGGATTGGAAAAGCAAACCTGTACAGAGGCAGATTCTTTTGCTGCGTTTACTACTGTTATAAAATGGTATCTATGAAGACATGAACCGAAGCTACAAGGATCCATACCTCGCCCACTGCCTTGACTTTGTTTCCCAGAACTAACATTCCAATTGGGATACCTCTAAGGTTAGGGCAGCTTCTGATGTTGTGACCTGATGGGCCAGTCTTCACTACCTTGTACACTCCAGGTCCACCTCGAAGGAAAGGCAAGTCTTGTTCTTGCATCACTGCTTCCTGTGGGCAGTGCGAACTTAGGTCTTTGAAAAAATCATCAGCATTAGACCTAGATTCCTGAGAAATTAGACAAAAGGCAAAACAGAACAAAACCTATTAATACCATCTTTGAACTGTTTAAATAAGATTGACTTACTTCAAGACTATGAAAGGTAAAATTCAAAGTTAACACATACTAGTTTCGGTGCTAATTTTAGTGTGCAATGTTAAACTACTAACTACTAGTAAATTGCACAATAATTGAAAAGTCACCATATTACTCTTGAAGCAAAAGAGGTATAAATGCAACCAAAACCATTTCTATAAAAGGAACATCTCATATCTAACATTAGAGATGAATTATTTAATCTGTTTTCATTAAACCTTGTTCTGCACTGACATCATGATATGCACTCATTCCTCCTGCTGTATTTGTGAAATGTTATGCAAATCTGGGGCTATGTAAAAGGACTTTGAATATTATCTCTCTCCATATGACATGCTTCTTTTTTTGATTACACATTTAGAATATATTGTCAATTTAAAGGTAAATTTACACCAAAGAGTCACAGCAATACCATAATTTTAAAATGCACATGTACATACTTGTGCATATTAATTATTTTTGTTATGACAATAAAAATGGCTTGTAAATTTATTTCACCTCATATTAATTACAGATGAAATATGAGAAAACACTTTTTGAGTTTCTTACCAAGAAGAAGTGGCAGTTATTGAAAGAAGAGAAAAATCAGTATAGAGTTTTCAGCCAGCCACAGCTTAATGAAAAGGCTGTTGTACAGAAAAATATGAGGGATAGGAGTAACAAACATTCATTTATATCAGAAGAAAGCAAGTGAAGAGCAGGAGTAAGCTCTGTTATGCTTATAGTGCAAGTCATAGGTGCTTTTAAAAGAACATCTGAAAGTTAAGAACTACTTAACATCCTACTGGAAAAAGCCAGTGGTTCACTAAATTCAGTACACTGTGTTCAGCAACAGTAAGAGGGGATGCCCTTCAGGAGCAGCACAATGGTCTGTCCATTATACACCAACAGCATTTAAAATCTTTTTATTATGGATGTTAGAGAGTATAACTTATTTTCTTTAGGGTTTATTTATGAATCTGATTTCTATAAATTTAATTTCTTCTGAATATGCTGATACTTTCTGTCTCCACAATCTCCTCTAACAACACCTTCCAGGAGTTCACTTCCTGCTGTGATAAAGAATATTTTTCAGATTTAAACCAAACTTGTGATTATGCTATTTCATTTTAAATTAATGCAACTTCCTCTGATCTCTTTAATTATGGTATTTTCAGCTATTTTTTTTTTTAGTAAAGAAGTCTGTACATTATATCCAGACTAATACAGCAGTTATTTCAAGAAACTTTTATACAAAAATAAGCATGTTATATAAATACTTATCTTGCAAAACAAGTTAATGCAAACTGAGGTAAACTGGTTCAAGGTAAAAAAAAAAGCTGTATGTTCTAAAGACAGTTTAAACATTGTTTAATCTTGATATAATAGTTTGCTATTCAGTGGCCAAACAAGCTTTTAAATCTCTAAACCAAGATGTACAACACTGAATGCCATCTTCATTACAAAGTTCACCTGAAAAATACTCCATCTCAAAATCCCTACAGCACTGGTATTCAGGCAAACACTTCTGTAGTTACAGAGCTTAACTGTATATAACATAACTTGTTCCTACAATTATGTGATTTTATAAAAAGATTAAGAATGAGATGAGTATTTATTAAAAACCTGTGGCCTTGCATACACAAATATCCTACTAGATGTTGCGACTTCATATGAAGCCTCCAAAAACAGAAATAAAAATTACTAGTAAATTCTGCATTACAAAAGAATGAAAGCCTTTATTATGTTACTAGGTCATCTCTCTGAATTTCTGATTTGCTTTGTTAAAAAAGGAGAATGCTACTCATGAATTAATGAAAATTCAATAATCTCCCCTGGTATTTTTTTCTCATCCCAAAGGATGAGCACAAACACAGCACTCCATGCAAATCTGCTATTTTCTGTAAAAATAATTCACAGTAAAACAGATTTCAAAGAATATTTAGCATAAAGTTGAGTCATAAGTTGCATTCTGAAAACATGAGATACAGTGTGACTGTTCCTGAAATTTAACTCACCTTAGGGGGTAAAGCTTTGGAAGTCCATGAAAAAAAGTCCAAATCCCTTACTCCTTGGCTAGCATTAAAGACATTCTGAGCAACAAAGTTTAAAAAAAAAGACATATCAACAAAGAAATGGGAACAAAGAAATACTGGAGGAAGAAGCTCAAGGTATTACAATGCAAACTTTCTCCACAAGTAAATTTACTGGTAGAATGTTTTGCAAAATGGGAAAGTTTTGTTTTCCTCAAGTCACCTGAGTCCATTGCTCATCATGGCAAATCATCCATTAAACAAAAACAGTTTAATATGTCAAAAGCTCAAAATGGATGTAGTGTGTCATGCCATTTGCTGAAATTAAGAGCCAGACATTTCCTACAAAGCTTGATACTTTGTTCACAGAAAAATCCCACACTTCTTTTCCAGCGAAATAGTAGTTGATCCCACCACAAACCAGAGTTTTCTAGCAAGACAGTCTGCTGTTCTGAAAGATAACTTCAACTAGTGCAAGACAAGTGCACATGGACTTTTAGCCACCAAGTCAGAACTGAAAAGATGTGAAGGGCTAAGCTCAGTGTTGCTGAAAGCAAATCACTCGCACAGAACAGTTTCACCAGTTTGCACATCAAAACTGTACTCTCTGCCAGTGTCAAAAATGTCAGTGCTATATGGAAAACAACTGCTAAAATTTCATTAGTTTTGCAAAACATACAATGCGTTTTCTGGTTTGTTATGAATGATCATAAACCAAATACAGCTGCCACAGAGACTTCACTAATTTTACAACCAATTGCCTACGCTATAGAAATGAGCACTGGAGTTCTGTGTATTTTTTCCTCCTGCAGAACAGTGAGAACAACATTTTTTAATCACTGAAAAACATAAAAAAGAAGCCATTTTTTTCTCCATAAGCTGATTTCTACCAATTTCAAGGAAATTTTTACTGTTCCTGTCAAATGAAAGATTTAATAGCCAATATACAGCAGTACTAAGAACTGTATTTATGATGGAATTCCTTTGACAAAGCAACCATTTTATCTGTATGAATGGAGGTATCAAGATCTAATTTCCTATCCCCAACCTGATATGGGAGCCAAGTTAAACCCCTGGACAGAGGCCATATTAAAATTTAACTGTAGTTAAGGCAGTGAATCCTTTCAAGCAGAAACAAGTACAAAATACCCTTGGCATGCCTCATCTGTGTTCCTTGAAAATACACTAACATGTTAAAAGTCAGTAAATCCACACTTTTATCTCGCAACAGAAGCAAATCATGTAGCCATGAACTGTTCGCAAACATCAAGTTTCACTAATATAAACTATTTGACATTTTGACAAAAAGAGGGAATGATCAAAACACTACATTTCTATAGAACTGAGTATCCTTACCCTAAATTGAAGGAGGCACCAATGTGCAAGTGATAGGTGCTTTGGGGCATTGGAGAAGGTTGGGAGGGTGTTGGATAGGAAGACTGACAGAGTAAAGTCTTATAAATTTGACAAAAAACTATGACAACTATGAAAAAGTCTACATTTGTCTAATGAGAATATACTTCATAGGCATCCAATGTACTTAAACTGACTGATTCTATTATTTTGCAGCATCTCTCTTATTTTCTGATGGAATTCTACTGTACAGAGAAACATGGCCTATCCTATCTAATTTAGGTGTGGACCTAAATTATTTCAGTATAATTTCAAAGATCTATTTTTCTACATCATAAAGCTCTGTCTAAAACATACAAGGGAAACCAACAGCAGTGAAGTGGGACCATGTTGGCTTAGTAACTCTAAGAAGATCAAACTAGAAGTTCTCCTTTGTTCTGGGAGCTTGAGAGCTTATAAAAAAATCATAGTCTCTAAGACTCACTCTCATCCAAAATCACCATTAAATCACACTCTCATGGTTGTATCACCTACAATGGATTGCATGCACAATTTCAGTTCAGTGGCAACACTAGCAGTCCCTCATGAAAGGACAAGAGCAACACAAGAGCACTGACTTTGAAGGTTGTCTAAGAGCTCAAATAAATAGAAGGCTGGTAACTACCATGGATCTCTGCTTTCCTACGATCATTCACCTTTAACTATAATAGCTTTGATAAAAATATACAAAACCCAGTGTGTAAGAGATCCACGATATTCAATGTTTGCTTTATCATAAAATATCTAGTTAATGTCAATAAATATACATAACATGTAGAGACGATATATGTATCAAGACGAAGAAAATTACATTGTTTTTTAATTTGCTTGCTGTTCCATTAATACAGTGATGAAACAACAATGAAAGCTTTCTATTAAAAATATACTTTTTACATATTTTACAAAACATATTTTATTTACTTAAAGGAATGATTCTAAAAAGCCTGTACATTTAAATGTGACAAAGTAATGCAACTTGGAGCTGACAAGTCTGCACACTCATGAGTTGAATAAAAATGGAGTCTAATAAAAGTAATGTGACATCTATTTCAACAGGGAATGCAATGACTAATCCAGCCATTTGTACTTTTAGTCACATGAGAGACTTTCTGAAGCCAATAGTTGAACAGCTTGGATTCAAACAATCCTCTACATTAACTATTTTTTTTTTTTACTACATTCTCCTCAACTTGTCAGTCAGTTACCCGAATCAACAGAACAGGATGAGCAGATATGGATTATATCACAATTTAATCTAACAAACCTTTAGCATTTATTATTTAATTGAACACCTTCTGCCACACGAGTCATTCAGCTCTAGAGGACTGAACTGATCAAATCTGACTACTTACAAACACAGCCCTATTTTTGGACAATTTGGAGGAAAGAAATATATAATTTTTAACTTTTCAGCTTAGCAATCACCATAAAAGAGATTTTAAAACTTTCTCCCAAGAAAGCAGTGTCTATGCTAAGAAAGTGTCTACTTTCTTAGCATAGACACTTTCTGTTCTTTACAGAACAGAAGTGTTCTGTTCTGTACTGCTGGAACAGCCTGCAGTAAAGAAGACTCTCAACTTAGACCTCTGTTTTGTGGCCTTTAAGAAAGAAAGAAAATGTTAGGGAACATTTTTCTTCCCCTTTTTCCTCTTATTATGAGCCAAACCAACAAATCTTAATGATTAAATATGATTGCAATTAAATAGTTTCAGGACACAAAGTCCTTTCAAAAATTTGAAAATATGAGAGTTGTGCAAAGGAACTTTCCATATGAAATTAGCTCATAACACATCTCTTGCACATACCTACATTGTTACAACAGCTGCTTTTGTAAGACTTTTGCTACATTGGCTGCTGCTTACTGATCAGATGCTAAGAAAGCATGGCACTTTTAACTTGTGTTATTCAAGATGTAATGTAGTTACTTGAAAGAAAATTAGGTCTATCTGACAGCTCCTAATAGCCTCAATGGTATCAGCTTACACCACTGTTCAAGAAATAAAAAGAGGTAATATTTTACCCGAACTTTATAGAAGCAGAGAATGAAATATTTGCAAATGGAATGCTGTTTTTCACATTTGATTGTACTTGACCTACTTATTCAAATAAAACCTGAATTCTCTAGATTATATTATCAACATTGAATGTTATTTATCACAGTCATTCCCTTTCAGACTTTTCAGGGAGCACAGTATATGCTCTTCTCTAGAAATAAGTGTATACTAGAGCTATTTGACATATGCCAACCGGTAAGTCCTTCCTAACCACAGACACTACTGCTGAGCTCAGAAGTATTCCCTTTAACAAGTTACAAAGCACTGGAAAGAGCTAGACTAAAAAAATATAAACCAGAAAGATCCAGCAGAATATAATACCCATCCAGACTTAAAATATTTACTGAAGTTAATTACTTAGTCAAGGTGAATTAACTTTTATTATGGATGAACTGGTAAAATTCAACTGCTGCACAGAAATATTAATGTTTCATGAAAGTGCAATGTAACAATTTTCTAATGGGCACCAATCTCTGAGGGAAAAATGCTGGCAAGATTTTAAGCAAAGCTTGATTTTTTCCATGTTTTCATATATTCTACAACAAACTAAATAAACAGTGTAACAGGCATATTTGAGTGACTGATATCTGAGTACAGAAATCATTTGCTTCCCAAATGCAATATTGAAGTAATTCCCCAGGGGAAGGACTTCACTGAAAGAAATCTCCAAACAGAAACATATCAACAAGTAAGTTATAGTCAGGAAGGTGAGCAGGAACAAGACCTGCTCACACCATATAACAGTGTTTGTAAGAATATGAGCTGCAGCCACAGAGGATTATGAATTTCCAGATTTGGCTACCAGCAAATACCCCAGTTGCATTGGAACTGGGAATATCTCAGTTCTTCTATAATCAAAAAACATGAACAGGATGTTATTACTAGCCACAGGTGTTTAATTTGACAAAATATACATTAACTGTCTTTAACTGCAGCAGCAGCTCACTCATCAAATCTAAATAGCAGTACTTGCAATTAGGTCTGGTTCTCACATTCTGCCCAGAAGAAACCAGGCTACTGCCCACTCTGGGGAGTGATAAAAAAAGATAAGCCAGAAAGTCCTGCACTTTCATAAATTGTTTGAGAAACACTGGTTTGGCTAATATAGTTTTATGCTTTGCCTTTTGTATTTTTCAAAACATATCTCTTGTTTACAGAAAAGGTGTAACCTTTCAACTGCCGTGATGGTGATCACCATTATTCAAATAAATTATGCTTACTCTCACTACAAATGCAAATATTTATTCAGTCTTGAGCTCTGGGATTCTTTGATTAGTTAATGAATCTATAATTCAAGGATTCAGGTGTAAAACTCACAAGTAATACAAACAAAACCCACCAGAGCGTAAAGAACTCCTCAGGTTGTTTTTTTTAAAAAAAGCCTCTAATACATTGACACCAGTGTACCACTTCACAGACAATGCCATCTTGCATCAGAAACACCTGGTGCAGACCACAATCTAGTACTATCCTACTTTTGTTACAGCAGTCCTTGCACTTCTGTTCCTCTCCTAGAAGAGGCTTCAACACAAAAAGCCTCATACCTTTCTACACTCCACCCTCATTACACAACAGCCCTCAAAGATGCAAACACATATAAGGTCCTATTTGATAATGAAAATATTTTTTACCTCAGGACACATTTGCAGCCTTAATTAAAGAAAGTCTTGTAATGAGGATAGAGTGTACTTTTGGATATTTTTCAAAGGCACCTTTTACTTACGTCAACAGGTACCAGAAGGCTCTTGCCAAGATGTTGGTTAAAAGACAGACACCAGGCTTCAGTGTAACCATTCATGTTAGGAACATACTTCTTTATTGTCTCATCATTCAGCCTCAGCCAAACACCATCATCATTGTGGATCTATGGGAAACAAGCAACAAAAACGAGCCATGCCCTCCTGTAACTGTTCTGTAGCTAGCAAGGACCAACAGACATCAGACAGACAACAGTAGCAAGGAAGCAATGATCTGCACTATGCTGATAGAATTTAAGAACAGGTAAAGAGAATATTGACAAAATCAGAATTTCAAAGCAACGAGAGGCATATCTTTTCCAGAAGTCTCTGTTTTAAGAGAAATTTAAATCAGATCATGCAGGGATAAGAACTGCTTTGACAGAAAAGCAGAAAGAAAGTCAAGCCTGCATAAGCTTCAGAAATTCCCCACTTTTCATTTCTCCACTGCTGATTTAACTTAGCAAATTGCAAAAATATTCCATGTATATGAAGTTATATTGTAAGAAAAATACATGCATAGTAGTCTAGTGATCTTTCAGACCTGTGAGTGAAAGATGTAACAAAAAGGACACCTACATCTGAATTTTTGTATAGAGTTGAAATAGTAAGCCATGAAAAGCTAAATCTTTTAGAGATGTAAGATGAACTCTAGAAAACTTCTTTCCTCGTATCAGAGTCTCAAACGTTTGTTACACAAGTTTTCAAGTAAATTAAAAGGAAATTACAGCTTGAAAAACTAAATCAGAAAATTTAGATTTTTGCAATTTATGCTCTTCAGTTGTATATGTCAACAGCTAAACATGGGAAAAAAACCATCATTTGCATGAATTAACTTTACAT